AAAAATAAAATTACACAGCCCAAAGATGGGGGGATAGGGCCCCCAAGGTCAGGGAGAGGGAGGACAGGGGCAGGCAGAGAAGAGCAGAGAAAGGAAGAACTGGTTATCAAAATACTTTATTTCAGGGCGATCCCTGAGGCAAAAAAAAAAAAAAAAAAACCAAAAAAGAAAAAAAAAAGAAAAAAAAAAGGAAAAAGGACGCTCCTTGTTAGACAGACATCCCCACAACACCTTCAGGGCTCCTTTTAAATCAACTAAAACAATCCGCTGCTTAAAATAAAAGACAGGTCATTTTTTTTTCCAATCAGACTTTAGTCAAGAATATATATATATTTTTGTTCCTGGGGTGGGAGAGCAGGGGGAGAAGGTGATGTTGCCAGTAGTTCACAGCAGTTTTCGGCTCTCTCGTTACACAGTATATAGAACTGCATTGCTGAAGACACTCGACACACAGCAGGGCTAACTAGGAGAATACAACTCAAGGCTAGCAAAGAGGAGAGGGCAGAGAGAAAGAGAGGAAGAGGGAGAGCATCCGACGGGGCTGGAGTCCTCTGTGCATAATTTACATGGAGCCGGCGGGGGCAGAGCCGGGGGCTGGCCCCGCTCGCCCTTCGGGAGCCGGAGAGAGGCGTCACGGGCAATCTCAGCTGACAAAACTTCAGTATTTTTTTTTTTTGTGTGTGTGTGTGTGGTTTGTTGTTGTTGGTTTGTTTTGTTTTTTGTTTTTTTTTTTTTAAAAAGAATCGCAGCCAAAATAAGACAGAACTGCAAAATCCCAAAGTGGCCGCTTTTACACTATTTATAAAAACATGAACAGTCACTAAGGGGCAGAGCGGCGCTCCGTGCACGGCCCACTATACTTTCCCCGGGATTTTGGCCCGCTTGCGAGCGATGGCATCTTCCACCGCCTTGAGCTGCTTCAGGAGCTCCTCCCGTCGTGACAGGGTGCTGGATTTGCCCGCCTTGGCGCCCGTGGGGCCCGGCTCGGATGCTTTGCCCGGTATGCTCGTGACTTTGCTGGAACTCTTGGACTGAGGCGAGAGCTGGCGTTTCCTGGCAGGGAGAGAGAGGAGAGGGTGGTGAGAGGGTGCTCGCCGGCAGCACGCCGCGCTGGAAACAAACCCCTCCGGCATCCGCTCCGGCAGAAAGCATCGCTCTCAGCGCCGGTGGAAGAAAACAGGTTCAAGACACAAGGGCCTGGGGTTGGAAAACCAGCTGAAACAGTCAAAAATCAGCTGCTCCAGGGGGGATCCTGAAGTTTAAACGACACGACAGCAACCCCCAAGGGCCGTGCCGGCTGCTGCGAGCAGTTTGCTGGGGGATGCACGGGTGCAAGGGAGTGCACGGTCACGCCGGCGGAGAGGGGAGAGCACCGCAGGTAAGCGCAGGGCAGCCCTGGAGAAGCCCCATGGTCTCAAATAGGATGAGAGGAAATGGCCTCAAGCTGCGTCAGGGGAGGTTTAGGTTGGATACTGGGAGAAATTTCTTCACAGAAAGAGTGGTCACGCATTGGAACAGGCTGCCCAGAGAGGTGGGGGAGTCCCCATCCCTGGAGGGGCTCAAAAAACGGGCAGAGGTGGCACTTGGGGCCATGATTTAGTGGGCACAGTGGGGTTGGGTTGATGGTTGGACTGATGGTCTTAGAGATCCCTTCCAACCTTAGTGATTCCCAGTTTTACTTTCATTAAAAAACAATCCAGCCACCAAGCCAGGAAACATGACATGAATTATTCCTCTCCCCTTAACTGGTTTAGTGGTTGGCTTGGTAGTGTCAGGTTAATGGTTGGACTGGATGATCTTAAAGGTCTTTTCCAACCCAAACGATTCCATGATTCTAAATCCTGACAGCCCCTGCCCTGCGATGCTGCGGGGTCTCGTGGCGCGGATCTGGCAGCTGACGGGCACCCAGCACTGCCCTCCAGCTCCGCTCCGACGCTGCTTTGCTGCGGGAGCAAAGCAAAGCTGGGGGAACGCTCCCCTCCCCTGCACCCGGGGAATCTGGCCGGCCCCACGCAGGGAGGACGGGAGCCACTGGTGCCCATCGCTGG